TAATAAGATTAGTCCAGCCAAGACAAGAAGATCAGAATCCAATTAAAGACAGGCTCCGATGGACAAATTCCTTGGAAACTCTGTTTAAAACAATCACCTTGTTTTCAGCATTTTTTTTTTTCAGCTCTGTAGTATTGGTCTACAATACGAAATAAATTGAAATGCTTTTAATCATGGTTAGTATCACTCTGCCTTTTAGTGATGGAGAGTACTGCTTTGAAATTCTCGTGACTGATAAAAGCTCAAGAAACGTGTTGATCCCTGCTGTCTGGCCATTTTCAGTGTTTTCTGCTAGGGAATTGAAGAAAGTGTGTGGGCAGGGTGCACTGTACCTGCGCTTAATAGAGAGCAGCCCTAATGATCATGAGGTATTCTTTCATATTCACATTTAAATATATTTTTTATAACTTTACAAAATAACCTCACAGGTGTCTTGCTAAAAAATGTCCTTACATAGTNACAAGTAATCATGACACCCTTGTGTTGAATTAACCTTAACTGTTGACAGTAAACTTGAACAAATAAACTAGTTCCCTTACTGCTCTTATTCCTCTGATTTCTTTTTTTACATACAATTATTTTTTTAGATAACAAAATTTTGTATTTTCTCTACAGGATCAGCCACCTAGACCATCGGCATCACGAGGAGGTGGGCGTGAATTTGTTATGTCAATTGAATAATGTATGCAAATCATTATTGAAATTCTGATGCTGCAATGTCGAGTAAAATAACTGTGGCTACTCAGATGGCTACCCAGATGGTAGGGTTTAAATGGTTCAATTGCACTTAATTCACAAAATGGTTTGTATTAAATTTATGATATCTTCTTTTTTAAGGACAGAAATTGAGCCGAGGCTTATCATTTAAGCAAGGCTATCTTCCTCAAGGTAACTGAATTTTCCGTTGCATTCAAGCCAACATTTAAACCAATGCAATATTAAATATTACGCCAATACTTTTCTGGAAGCTTAGTTGAAAATTCCCTGAAGGTTGACCCATGAGAGTTTCTTTATTGGCACTCAAGTTTGGGGAGCACCTGCAGGGGCCTAATGATCAATATCTTGGTGGTCAGAATGACCAAGCTAGGTACGAGAGAGTACTTGCTTACAGGGGCCCCTAATTATTACATGTTATCAAGAAACTTTACTGATGCCAATGAGGGCGATTCTTCAAGAAAACCCAGCGAGTTTAACCAACATAATGCCGTTGATTGATTGTACAGGATCCAGGTATCTAGATTTTTTAGTCAATCTCCAACTTGTTAAGTTAAGAATCAATGGTGTGAATTAATTTCTCTTTGAATGAATGGCTTC